GTTTTACAAAGGAGAAAAATCGATGCCCCCGCAGTTCCATCTTAGAACATCTGATAGTATCCGGACACCAAGCTACACCGCAAACAAACTTCAAAGTCGTCTACAGAGTAAGAAGTGGTCTCCCTAAAGGTGTACGAATCAGAATTCTTCAAACTGCAGAAGCAATGGCGATTCACTTGCTAAGTCCTGAACTCTGCATACAGAAGAAGTTCGTTCAATCACTACACTTGCAATGGACGTAATCTATCTTATTAGCCGACATGTAAATTCTACCTAATCTTTTCTTCTGTCTCTTCATTAGTATTATTTTGTCTTCTCAATTGTAACCTTTTACATTTTCAACTTTCTTGTTCTCTACCTCCACCCGATTCAATTTCTACACCTCACTACCACTGTTACTGACTTGAACAACGCTCAGTTTCTAGCCATTTATGTTACGTCATCCAACTTATTCACTCAATTTCATTTCTATTAATCTCTACCTGTAATTACCTCTGTTGCTATCCTGACCTAAATTGTAACATTTTAGCCAATTATATTACGTCATCTAGCTTTTTAACTCAATCTTACTTTTGTTGCTGTCTGATTAACTTTGTCTCTATACTACATCATTCTTCTATTAACTAATTAATTATCTAAACTAAACAAAACTCATGTACACACACAAATATTTATATATAAATGCGATTGTACAGCTATGTGAATGGATTCGCCGAAAAGAGTCTCTTCGCTGAATGTCTTCTCTTTTTCAAATACTTGATAGGTTTTCTTCAAAATAACTATTGTTATTATTATTAATATCTGCTTTGGTATCGAGTTGAACATAGGGCTTGAACAGCACAACTCCATTTCATTCTTTTCTGTGAAGTTGTTTTCAGCTGCCTAGAGGCTATATTCTCGTCCTCACATGGTCTTCACCATGTCACCCTCGGAATGACGTCCCACTCGTGGTTTCCCATACGGGTTCCACTCGAGCCAAGTGTAAATCGTCTAGAGTTTTCTTATCGGTTCAGCGTATTACTGTCTTCCCCCTCCCCACTCTCCGTCCATGGAATAATCCAGTCCGCCACAATCAGGAATTTCAATAGTGACAGTAATCAGCCTGGTTTTACTCCTCTCTTCACTTCGAAGGCATCACTGTGTTTTCTCTTGTGAATCACTTGATATGTAGCGTTATCATGTTCGAGGTTGATAAAGGTTTGCACGCTTCACTCCATAGTGTTCAAACAGTTTCCAAATTATTTCACAGTCTTTGCTGTCGAAAACTTTTTCAGAGTGGATGAAGTTGAGGTAGACATTTGACAGCCATGATCTACTCTATTCGGTGATCCGTATTCAAGTTCCGTCTTGCAGTTTTCCCGGACTTCTGTAGCTTGATTGCATTGAACACTTCTGCTTTAGTTGGCGGACTGGTGTTCGCTGACAGTTCTGTGGCTGTTGATAGTATTCCTGAACGGGTTGTAGGTGACGGTCGGTTCAAGAGTCATTTGAAGTGATCAGCCCATTGTGTCCTCTACTTCTCCACCTTGATCATCAGCTTCCCTTGGCTACCTTTTATTTGTTTCATCATCTGTGTTGATCTGTTCCCGGATAGCGAGCAGCCTGGTTATCTGATATAATGTCCGGAGGTCACTTTTGCCTGTAGCCTGCCTGTTCTGCTTCAGTTGTCGGCCAGTGTTTCGTAGAATTGTCTTGTGTCTCTGCTATCACTCTTGTTCACTTCTTTATTCAGTGCGTTGTATGTTGAATTCAGCTTCTCTTTCTGTTATTCTTCTTCTCTGCATTAGTTCATCTTCTGTTTCACTATCCCTCCTTCGTTAATTAGCTTCCAGGAGTCCGTAGAGAATGATTCCTTTCTTTTGCCTGTTATTTCTACCTTAGACGTCTGTAGAGGTTTCCTTGCATATAGCATTTAGAGAGTTCTAATGTCCTTCCACACAGGTTTCCTCGGTGATGATACAAAATTTTTTTTAGCTTTGCTCTGATGGCTGAAGTGAAGGTGTCCTTTGTAGTTTTATCCTTCAATTTCTCAGTGTTGAACTTGAATTGTGGTCTGTTCCCAGTTGCTTTTCAGTCTCTCAACTTGTCCCCGAATGATGATATGAAGCCAAATCTCCTCCTCTTCTCAACTTTGTGTCTGGGAGAACGAATCTCCACTTTCTTTAGAACATTGCGATGAAGTCTGTCTGATTTTTGGTGTATCTAGTGTCTGGTGAAACCCATGTCGGTTTGCTTATGTCCTTGTTCTTGTACACCCTACTTCCAATGACTAAATCATTGAAGGTACAGAAATCGGGGACTGGTCCTGACTTCTCCTTCATTTAGCCGAGCGAAAGCCTCCCAACCCTTGATGGGTTATCTTCCCAAGTTGTGTTTGCTCTTAGTTTGGTTTGGATTTAGATCGCCCATCAGAGTTTTGATGCTTTCATTTGGTGTCTTGCGGTTTACTACTCGCAGTTGTCTGTAGAAGACTTCCTTCTCCTTCACAGGACGCTCTGCGTTGTTTTGGGCGAGTAGAATTGGGTAATTGTAATTGTCCTTTCTATGGAGTAGAATCTTGGTGTCATTATCCTGGAGCAGATTGATTCCCACTGTATAAGAGCCTTGGATAATGATTTTGGTGACATCATCATAGGCACTCCGTCAGTGTATCGTCTGAGAGTGACCGGAGTAGATTATTGACTCCAGTTAACAATTTTGAGAATCTACTTTCATTCCATTTCCTGCTATATCAGTTGAAAAGTTTAGTATGGGATTCTCTACCACTACAGTGCCTAAGTTGCAAGTATATAAATATAAATATATATATTCCTTTACGTTCCCATTGGGACATAGGGCTTCAAGCTAGGGCTTTGAAGTTTCGGTAGCAGCAGTGTTTATCTTTACGGGATGGGGTTGCTAGCCTCATGCCCACCTTTCTCTCTTTACCAGTCTTATTACTGGCTTAGCGAGGTATAGGAGTGCGTTGGTGGCCGGGGATCGAACCCCGAACCATATGTGGCGCGGTTGGCGAACATTGTACTACTATGCCACCAAAGCACTATATGTATGTATATATATATAATCTTTTTTTATTAACATTTTTTTCTTGTTCCATTCATTGACTAATGCAATCCAATGTGGACAGTGTGTGTATATGGGTAAATAGGAATTTGGAAATTACTGAAATCATCCAATACGTGTTGGGTGGACAGGGTGAAAGTATTAAAAAGTACTGTAGTTAGGTGGAGAGAGACAGGGAGAGAGAGAAAGGTTAATCACTGATACTTTGTTTATTGATTAAATGAAAACCACACACGTGCATTCGGAATGATGCAGAGTCTATACTGGAGATATAGAAAGTGGCAACAGACAACAAGGGGAAAATGGAGAGAGAATATCTGTAAGATAAATTGTGAAGTTGTGTGACTAAAATTGATATGATTATGAGTGGCAATAATTTACGCTCGACACCTTATCATCCAGTTGTTAATACTGCATCATCACTGTGTGATATTTCAAATAAACTTATCTAATATGGAATAACAGGTTTTGCGATAGACTAATGGAACAGTGGACAAAAGATCCTTGCTATCTTCTTTTTCATTCTTATTTCGGTTGTGCTTATTTTTGTCTCTAGGAGTTATGTTACTCCAGCTGTGAGTGATATCTCATAATTTTGTAAGTTGAATTGGTTCAATTTTTCCCCGCAAATATTCCTCCGAGTAGGTTCTCTCAAAGAAATCAGAGTGTCCGCCAATCACATTAACTTCCAATTAGCTCCACTCATTTGTTACACTGAAATGTCAATTTTATGTGATTGGGAGAATGTTCTGGTTGATGGGATAGGATGAGATAGAATTAGTTAAAAACCCGATATCTTTAGGACCTAAAGTCTATCTCATTTGTCTACCTGCTGTAGTAGCTGACTTGACCACTAAAATGTGACATTGCAGGAGTTTTAATGGTAAATTCAACGGTTATATGACATGGTTGTGACTTGTTCGCCAGTGTATTTGTTGATTTGTTGTATATCTTGATATATGTCTCATTGTAATTGCTTATCACATTCTTATTGATTTTGTAATTTCAGAGGGGAGGGAGGTGTTGTAACTAGGTTAAATTCTGTTTTAGTCCATCATTCCTATTCAGACAATTTGGATTCCATTTGATATGAAGTACTGGCTTCTGATATTAGACGTTCTTTGTGATTTCTGAAATGTTTCTGGATTATTTCAATATTGTCGAAATCAATTTTGTGACCTGATTCTATAGCGCGTAGACGACCTATGGCTGATGATTTTTCAAGCCTTTCTAGTTCAACTGGATTTCTCGGTGGTCGAAAAGAGACGGCTCTACGGTGTTCATTTCTTCTGATTTTGATCTCTCGAGATGTTTGTCCGAGGTATATCGCATCACATTCCAAGCAAGCATTTTTATTTTATAGACACAATTAGGTAAAGAATCTTTAGGTATTTGATCTTTTCTTCGAACCCCTACCCAGATTTTTGGTTTAGTTATGGTTAGGGCTATTAAAGCATTTAAACGTTTCTTGAATAATTTTGGTCTTGTCGTCAGTCTCCTCCGTATGTGCCGAAGTGTACTTGAAGCGATTTTGGTTGTTTTGTTGATAATAGGACTACCACTACTCCTACTACTACTACGTAGGACGTTGATGTCAGTTCACATCTGTGTGACCTACTTTACTTACGGTTGTTATATAAAAGATATTGAAAGTGTAAATTGCATTAAGACTAGACCTTCGTGTTTTTATTCGTATCAATCGTTCATGTTAAGTCGAACTGTGTTGTGAATAATAATCAGGTGATGTTAGGTTAGGTAAGACAAGTATGTTGATGAGCGTTCATCATTTGAAATGACTAGAAGACACGATATGTGCGCATGTGGTTGATGTCAATCCATAATAAATGTGATGACTTTATTTTGCTTTAATGAATACTATGTCGGAGTTGACAGTTACTTACTTGGTAATAATAATAATATATATATATATATATTAAACGTTTTCATAATTTTTTTTCTCTATAGAAATCGCTGTAGATCTTCAAAACAAGCCCTTAACGAAACCGTAGAAAGCCAAATGAAAAGTCGTCAACGTTTGGTTGATATGGCTCTAGCGAATCGTGACCTTCGAGATGAAATATGGCACTATGCATATTTGAATTCATCTCTGTCTTCAGAAATTGAAGGACTTCAGAGTGAACTTGCGAGTTTACACAATGAAGAACACTGTAGTAATGAAAACGCCAATGCTGTGAATTCGAAGCCGAGGAAATTTCATGCATTGGATTCAGGTTTGTTATAATATATTGTGTATATATTTGGGGGGTTACACGTAGTCATGTAATTGTGATTTTAACTCTACACACACACACATGCACGCACACTCTAATGACGACTGTATTGTTGTATTGAATGCCGAGAAGGAGGTTGAGGTGGGGGAGGAGGAGTGATAAACTCTGATAATTGGTGTGTGTCGTGTTGATTATTCCTGAAACTGATCGTGGGGATAATGAAAAGGGGAATTAGAAAATTATGAATTCCACTTTGGTGAGGAGTTCACATCACACTTACAACTAGTCGATGAAGCGATTGCCCATGGTTGACTGAATTTCAGTCATTTACTCGATTTAACCACTGTGATGGAAGTAGGTAGGAATAATGTTATTGTCGTCGTTCACAAAAGTTTGTTTTTCTTGCATTGTGCACTTGCAACATAACACAAGAGTATTTAGAATTTATAAAATATCATGCATATTGTCGAGTATATGCTGTAGAGTTTTGATCACATAACAGTTTCACATTTATGATTTGAATATAGGCGAATGCGAACGCACGAGTGACCTTGAGCCGACCAATCAGGAAATATATTAGGTTTTGCATATAAATATGATGTTTGTTTACATGAGAATACATTATTAAGCAGGATATTTTTTCCTCACATGATTCAAGAATACCTCCAAATTTTAATGAAGAGTATCAGTTTTCAGGCTAGATCAGTCTGTATGCATGTATTCACCAAGGTGATTGAAGCCGAGTTCATATTATGACCCATTTATCCCTCTTATGCTATTTTGTTAGTCTTCTTCCTCAAAAGACCTCGATTGATTGGTTGGAGGGTTTCGTCATAAGTTGACATCAGTTAGAGAACCATTGGAAAAGCTGGGAGTACTGGACAGTTGTTTCTTCCTAATCTGGGACTCTTCATCAGTATGCAGCCACTACCACGGTTCGAACCCATGACTTTCTGGTTATAAGGCCAGCGAGCTCGTAGACCATTAAGTCACTGGGACCCGATCCAATGACCAGCCCATGAATTCTAACATCTACCGATTCATGACATAGCGCGACCACTTCGCAATGTCTTCTTCGATGGGTTATTGCCTCACCTTCAACCTGTTGCGCCCTACTGGTCACGGCTTCTCACTAGAACCACAGGTTAACTGCCTAAATAGGGCCAGTCGCTAGTCAGCATCAGATTAATTAATTTTCAAGTATTGGTTTTGTAGGGAGGTATTGTGTTTGATTAGTTGGAGGGTTTCATCGATTGAATCAGTATGGGCTCCACTAAGAGGATCGATAACTATTAACTAGGCAAATGTGGATAATAAAGATAAATAATACTAACCCCAATCTTAATTGTAACCCTGATTCCAACACTGACCCTAAGCGTGACTATAGCACTAACGAGCTATGCAGAAATTGTCCAAACAGTACTTAAAATCAAGATCGGGATGAAATTTGCACCTCTATCCGTGCACAGCGTTCAAAGTGACACTGTGTTGTGAATAGTAGGTCTCGTTATCGAACGAGTAGTATGCGTTCAAGGCTACTGGTGCTTCCGCACTCCTGACCCACCGTTATACTTTGGTAATTTGGTCTGATTATATTCTTCATATGCATATTGCTGCATTGTGTCACAACACCGTCCTTCCTTGTCCATTCTGTCTTTCTTTTAGATGAAATTGATAAACTTTATTTAAGAAATCAGGATCTTAATAAAGTGGAGACGAATAAAATTGAATCACAAGAAAAAGGAAAAGAAGAAGAAAATACTTCAGCCAAATTATCCCTGGGAAATGGTGGAGACTCTACAACTACCACTACTACTGGTGTTAGTACAAGTGACAGAATGGTGGGACCTTCAAGAATTGTTCAATGCAGAGAAGTACCACAGGAATGTAAACCTTCGTGATAAATAAAATTTTCTTCCATCACCATCACAGACTACGTGGCAATGTTGGTGTTTTTTTAAAAATAATAGATTGATCGCCAGAAATGCCTTTCTTTCCTTAGAAACTACTATTGTGATTATTATTATTATTACTTGGTGAGTAGAAACCTAATTTTGTTATAAATCACTCCAACATACTCTCGACTATTCTCTGTGCTATTTCTTTTATCTGTTCGTTGTTTTTGCATATTTTGTGGTAAAAAAAAAGATACATAGAAATTATAAATATCCCTTCTTGTTGTATCTGATTTGTGTACATTGATATCTTTTATGTGTTATGATGTGCTTGCCAATTTGAAAGTTAGTATATAGTCTCATGGTGTGTAGTTGACATTCGAAGGTGATGAATACTGCTACAGATATGCAGCGCTGATGCGTGTGTTGTTCAACGTTTAGATGAACGGCAACACATATGTGGTAAGGTGATTTAAAACAACAATTGACTGTTATTCTCTTTTCTCTAAGTTGGATGGCAACGTATAAAAGTCTCCGGGAGTGGGGGTTGGGTGTAGAAGTCGACATATGTAAAAGTAATATTTGTAAAATCCCAGAGAAATTGACACATAAGTAGTTCCAACGTTCCCTGTGTTGGCCAAACTGGTCTGAACTTCCTCAGGGAAATCAATATAACAAAGCTATGTATATCAAAGATATCTCTTGTCTTTAAAAGCTTTGTCGAATCATACGGGACCTGAAACAATCATCAAAATATAAGTTAAAAACTTTTGGCTGAATGCCTGACTTTTTTCAACGCAGAACTTAGCACAGATGTACAGCGGTTCGAGTTGTGGGTGAAGGAAAAAGAACAGTCATATGGAAGAATGATAGAGTTTTATTGCATATGACATATCACAAAGAGTGAATTCATCTGCGCTGTCACTGAGAACGATTTTGAACCATATTAAAATTTTTCTCCAACCATTGGTTCTTACCATCTTGAGGACCCCCACCAACCAAGCATTCTACACCGCCATATGTGGCTGGCTTAAACTAACTGTTGTGCATTTGATTGACTGATGATGCCATGTTTTTGTTTGACCACCTCTAGCTTTCTCTCTTCCAACCTGATTAACCCTAAGTTAGCTATCATTGTCCTTCGAGGAAGGGGACAACTAGGGGTGCACGCGTAAAACATGCCCTAACCGTCTCAATCGATGTGACTTCACAACCTCGTCGATTGATTTTCCCTCCTTACCTAGCACTCGACCGAAGCTGAACCTAAATATTACTCACTCTATTATACCGCCTAATACGGCAGATACAACGCAGACACCTATGGTTAGAGACTGCTAGACAAGTCTTACAGCCAGCCATTAACGAGGACTGGACAAACTGCTAGGCATTACGTACGTCTTTTGATCGATTACCAGCAGGATATCACGTCCACGCCACACGAATCTTTTGTGTCCGTGCTGAGATTTCATCAGCGGTCAACCCATTGGAGCTGATGCAACTCCCCAAATAAGTGAAGTGGTCAACGCGCTCTACCACTTCACTCCCTAATTCTAAGCTAGGAGTCAGTGTAGTCCAGTCCTGTAACATCATCTTACATTTGGCGGAGCAAGTCGCATGCTAAACACTCTTAGATTGCTGTTCAAGGTGTTCAGAAGACTATGCTCGGCTTTGTCAGCGTCTTCACCTAGTTGGGAGGACTGTATCATCTGCGTATTGTAAGTCAATGAGATTATTTCCTGTTAACAAGTTAGTCCGTGAATGTCGCTGAAGTGAGTTATGGTTAAGTTCTTTAGTACATCTTTGATGAAATGGGGATAGTGGGTCATCCGTGACAGACACCACTGGTTGTCACTACTTTAGATGACAACTCTCACTTGGCTGACTTCATGAGTTAGAGTTTAGTGCAATGTATTTTATCGGCATTCCCTTCACAGACAAATATTTTCATACTGCCTCTCGGTCGACGGAATCGAATACCACCTTTGGGTCAAGAAACATGACAATTGCTGGACGCCGGTGGATATGACTATGTCCCAGAATCTGTCGAAGGGTGAAGATATAATCAATTCAACCTCTTCGTGGTCTGAAGTCTGTCTAGTTTTCTTGTTGTTTTTTTCTGCGAACACCACTTAATGTACGCATGATTACTGATCCTAGAACTTAAGATACCATATTGGTGAAGCTGGTCCCCGCTGTGATTGATCTTTCTTCTTGTATATCGGGATAATCAATGACTTACACCAGCCCAACAGGACTTCCTCTGATTCCCAGACTCTGTCTAGTACCTTAGTTAACTCAGACAGTAAACTGTCTCCACCGTCCTTGAACACCTCTGGAGTCATTCCATCGGGTCCCGCATCTTTGCCTCGTACTGCGTATTTTCAGAAACTTAAAGAAATATTAATGCAATGCAATTTTCATAGTAATATTGTAAATACAGTCATCCTGCTATGGATGGCTTCTACTAGTTACACAAAATAGGTAAACTTCTGATCTGATTATTCTGTTGTGATATGGATATATATTAAAACAAGAGATTACAAATCATCAAATTAATTAATTAGTAGATGTTAGCAACAGATGGCCAATCGACAAGATATCCAAATTTTGACGGAGAGCGTACAATCACCTCGCATCTTCGTTAGGCAAAAGCTTCGAATAAAGCTGTACGCAACTCAATTCTAGCTCATCTCATCTATACCGGACATTGGGCTGACTTTGACAAAGCTTTCAAAGTTATTTATCGCATTTCACCCATTGTTTCGCTTGCTCTACAAGCATGACTTTTACATTCAGCAGGAGCCATTTGAAGTCATCTGATGAACAAGCCAGTTCTGTGTGTTCAAAAGAAATTTGTGCAGCTCCTTTCCTTTTCTCATAACATGCATTAAGTTTTATAAGTGATTATCCCCACCCCTTTGTCACTATCATTTGTCTATATTTTATTTTGATTACTATTCTAGCTAATTCATTTAACTTGTTTACAAATCGGTATCCTTATGTAATTCTCCTTGGTCATAATTATTTTATAAATTCGTTGATTACGTAACAGCTCGTCTTGAATTCCGCAACTACTTTCACCTCTCCTTAGAGCTTATAAACTAGGTCTCCGTGTACAAATGGAAATGGTGGCCACTATGAATCTACCATAGTAATATGTTCTACTTATTAACTGTTATTATTAGTAATAATATTTTATTCTACCTCTTATTATTACTATTCCTGATTCATTTAAAACTATCTTCTATCAGTAGCATTATCTTAACTCGTTTCAACATTATTATTACTAACATTACTCGGTGCGTCGTCGGTTCACTGGTAGAACACTGGCCAACTACGCAAGTGGCCCAGGATCCGACCTCTGGCTGGCGCACTCCTTTACCTCGCTTTACCGGTAGTATTGTAACAACAGAATACAAGGGCCAGGCAACAGGTCGTTTATTGAGAAAATCAAGAGATATTTATTGTTAGCAGAGAAGCAACGTCTTCTGATTCGCTGTTTTCCTGCTGAAGGTTATTCTGTTATTTCTTAGACAGTCCGTTGATATATCTGCTACTCGTATCCGCCCACGCTAAGTCTGCTGTAATGGGTTGTTGAGTTAGTCTTTGTTCTTGTTTTTTTCTCATGACCAAGATATGGGACGTAAAAATTGACGTAAATTGCTGTCTACCAATTTCGGCTAGCAGACAGCTCTCACCACAGTATGACAGGCAAAGAGGGAAGGTCGGGCGTAAGGCTAGCAACCTTACCCGGTAAAGAGACATCACTGGTACTGAAACTTCAAAGCCCTATCTCCCACTGGGAACCGCCAAGAGCGGTATCTTATCCTTAACGTTAGACTGGATACTCGGTAATCTGAAACTGGATCTCTGCATTCAGAAGCACCACATGCATCCACTCACCCTACTGTGACCAGAATAACGTTCTTACTATGATTTTGCTTCTTTTTATCGTGTAAGTTTACTATTATCATTATAATTCCCATCGTTATCCATATTTTATTACCACTCTACTACTGTTTATGAATAAAATTGCTTTTTCATACAGATTTTACATTCTTCTAAACACTTTATCGTCTTTCCACTAGTTCCTGTCCATTCTACACAATCTTATTGATGAGTCATTATCGCACACTTATAACGTCAAGCCAACTTTTGCCCCTTTTCTAATTTCCAATCAGTCACCCCTTCTAGATCACACCTTACATTACGTAATACGTTTTCGAAGACAAATTTTACCAGTATCTGATTGGTCTTATAATTTCTTTGCTAAATATAATTACGACTGCTGTACAGCTTGTGAAAATGAATCGTTGAAAAGACAGTTTTCTTCGCTGAATACGTCTTAGTTGTATATCTCCCAAAGTATTTCTAATAGGGTATGGAGAGTATTCAGATGAAGAGTTCTACCGAAATAATGATGAAATCACTAAATCCTGCTCTACTAACCTTTGTTGCATGTTTTAAATCTCCGCACTCTCAATCGGAGAGAAGCCCCACTGGTCACGACTTCTCACCACAACTTCGTCTTGTAGCCAGTCACCAGCGAGCATTAGATGAATTTTCAAGAGTTAGTTTGTAGGGATTTGATTTATTTCAAGGTTGATCACGGATACTGATATCAGTTAGAGAACCATTGAAAACCAGCAGGAAGTACTGGACAGCTGCCTAGTCCTAGTTCGGGCAACTGAATCAGCTTGTAGTGGCTGAGTGGTTTACGACCTCCCCTTGTACCGGGAAGGTGCGGGTTCCGAAGCCTGGGAGTTGCTGCGTTTACCTAGGTTCTAATTAGTGATCACCACTGGTCATCCCACCAATATTTCGCAGTATCAGACTACCTCTCGGTCAACAAAATCAAATGATAGCATAGAGTAAGGGAAATTAAACAGGTGTCCGAAGGATGAATAGTTACACTTTAGAAGCTGTCGAAAAGGTGTTTGGACTAATCAACCACTGAGCTGGCAAGAAACTTTTCTTCTACCCCAGTTGTACACTGCCTTCTCATATACTCCAAAATCTTGAAAACTGATAACCAAAGTCCCCATTTTTAGTTATCACAGGACTACTCAGTGAAAGAGAAACAATGGAGGATAATAGTTTCACAAACCTACGCGTACTAGCACATACTGAGTAGTCCGAGGCATGCTTCTTTGGGAGTTCCCAACTTATTCAACCTGAAAATCTATGAGATGTCTTATTTGATTGACGATCCTTTTATTATTCTCGTAGAATATTACTATTATAGCACAGTAGTCCAGTCAAATGCTTCATTCAATGAGTTTTACGCCCACTCTTAATAGCCTAAAAGAATCTTAATCTATCCTCACTTATTAGCTGCATCAAATTTAACCGGTATCTTAACATGCAGATGTCGGCGGTCGGTCGCTTTTCGACATAGAACTTTGCACATATGTGCAGCAGTTCAAGTTGCTACACTCCCTTCATGTAGCACACAAAGCAAGAGAATAAAGTAGGAGAAATGCATATCAGAGACAGTAAACAGAGGTGTGAGACAAAGGAATAGTAATAATGAAGAATAAAACAGTTTCATTGGAAATCATGAGTCACAAGGAGTGGATGCATCTGCGCCATTGAGAACAATTTTGAGCCATGTCACCAATTGTTTCCAACCATTGGTTTTTACCATCCCGAGGACCCCAACCAGGAAGTCTACATCTTCCTACGTGGCTTAGACTAACTGTTGTAGATTTCATTGACTAGTGCCATGTTTTGGTTTGACCGCCGCCAGCTCTTTTCCAGCCTGACCAATCCTATAACCTATGTCAGCTGACATTGCCCGTCGAGGAAGGCGATGACTAGGTATACGTAACACATGTCCTAACCATCTCAGTCGATGTAACTTCACAACCTCGTCGATTGATTTCCCCTCCTTACCTAGCACTCGACCAACGCCTAACCTCAATATTGCTCACCTTATTATACCAATTCACACGAGAGATAGAACGCAGGCACCTCTGATCAAAGACAGCTAACCTTTTCATGTCTTCCACTTTCAACAGCCAGGTATCACAGCCATAGAGGAGGAAGGAGCGGACTGTTGAGCAGTACACACGCCCTTTGGTCGATAGCCGGATATCACATCTACGCCAGAGACGCCGTAAACTGGCATATGCGAAACGAGACTCCTGTATTCATGCTGAGATTTCGTCAGTGATCAACCAGTTGGGGCTGATGTAACTCCCGAAATCAGTGAAATGGTCAACGCGCTCTACCAGTTCACTGCCTATTTCGAAGTTAGGCGTCAATACAGTCCAGTCCTGTAGCATCGTCTTACATTCGGCGGGAGCGAATAGCATGCCAAACATTCGTAGATTGCTACTCAAGGTGTTCAGAAGACTGCATTTTGTCAGCGTCTTCACCTAGTTGAGGGGACTGTGTCATCTGTATATTCTAAGTCAACGAGATTATTCCTTGATGGTAACAAGTCAATCCCTGAGTCGCTGTAGTCAGTTAGGGTTAATTCCATTAGTACATTATTGATGAAATTATATAGAAATGGGGATAATGGGCGTCCTTGACGGACGCCACTAGTCGTCACCACTTCAGATGACAACTCCCCGTGAGCCCTCACCTGGCTGCATGAGTACGAGTAGAGTACCTTAATCAGCGCAAGGCACTCTACTCGTCGGCAGTATTAAACACTGCATCACACTGCCATTTCCCGCTATTATAGACACACACTGAACCAGTGTCGCATAGTTTCCGCAGAATCCTGGAAAACACGTCTTCAATTGTTCAACTATATCTCTCACGCCTTATCCAACTCCAAGTGCAATCACTTGGTCCACAATTTTGCGATGTATTGAGAAATATCAACGAATTACAGACCAAAGTTCAGTTCGAGAATCGAACTTTGCAGATATTTGATTTGTCACACCTAATTCTGAAAAACAAACATCTCGAGCAATTTTCGACAGCCACTACAAGTACATGCGTGCACGACTCAGTCATTATTATCTGATAACGAAGAGAGGCAGAAAACAACTTCAAGAAAATAAAGACATAATCCTTGTCTGGCCTGATTTAGGGGAATTGCATTGAACAAATCAGATAATGTCGAGAAACAAACAAACGTACTATCAGACGAATACCAAATTCTTCAAATCACCCAACCGAGACGAACAGAAAACCTCCTTGCAAAATTACTGAATAAAATGAAAGAAAATTCAATTATGACATAGATGTATGAACAAACAAAACCATGCAATTCAGTTTATGCCGAGACAATATGGATCGCCTGAAGTGCATAAGAAGGATGTCTCACTTCGACACATTATAGACATGGAGTCAACTCACCATATCATCAGATTGCGAAGTGGTTAGCACATATCCTTGAACGGGTAAGGAGACATATGACAAGGTCACAGCCTTAATGATGTATTTGACTCTAATCCTCCAATTAACAGACATTTTGGTGTTCTATTCAAAAATGACTGCATAGTTCTACCTTCCATAGAGCTAAAGAGCCAACATAATGCTGAAACACTCCAAGATTCCATCTTCAAACGCAGAACGGACATACTTAGAAATTGATAAATGCATAAATTCCATTCAGGTACACGCGCACACACATTGTAGGACAAAAAACGATCGGAGTTCAATGAGACCCTGCAAAAATGAAAGAAGTAACATTCATCAAGCAAGCCACGGGAATCCTAAGATGTCGTCAGCTACTGAAAGACAATTGCTACTTCTTCCAAACGGGTACCACTGGATGCAAGTCGCTCTATGCGACTATCGAAAACAGACTCATCGCACATCTGCAGCCAGAAGAGACCAGATTTTACATGTGTACCTAACCAAGCGTTGTAAACGCGAATTTTAACGACCATACTAATTTAGTGACAGTATTATAAAGTATTCACATTGGCCGACGTTTCCTCGACTTCAGCAAAGCGATTGGAAATGTCATGTGTTTCTCACAGATAACGAACTTTACAATTGTTTCTGACAGTTCACCTGAGAAGATCAGGGTAGACACGATTGTTTCTTTAAATTTTACTCCTTTGCGTTCCCAATGGAACATACGGCTTGAAGCTAGAGCTTTAAAGTTACGATAGCAATTGTTGCATTTTTACGGGGTGGGGTTGCTAACCTCACGCCCTACCCTCCCTCTTTACCCGGCTTACTACCAGCTTAGTTCGGTTTAAGAGTGCGTCGGCCGAGAATCGAACCACGGACGCCCAGCGTAGTTGACGACCATTCTCCCACTGAACCATCGACTGTGGGAACACTGATTTTTGTTAATATTGTAACAGTTCAAGAAGATATACCAAACTTACAAATCTTGACCACCACCACCACCAAGTGATCAATTACTATTTAGGTATGAAACATTTGGACGTTGAATTAAGGGGAAATTCTTTGAGTACACCATATCTTAAATTGAATTTACAAGTTTATTCACTGAATAAAAACTTTGATTTAACCTCTAAATGTTAACAAAATTTAAAATGTTCCCTGAATACATATATTATATATTATATTACAAACAACACGTATATTTACAGCATGTGTGCACATTCAAAATCAAGAGAAATTGCCCAGAGAAGAGTTTCAATTTGAAATTTACACTCAATGATTGTTAAATGCACGAATACACAAATGCCATTCAAATTGTAAATGGATTGGATCACATTGATTTCACTGTCTACGGCGTCGTTTATTACCTGCACTAGTAGAAGTAGATTCAGTATTTATTATGGAACGTTGATCACTTTGTAGAAAGTTAAGTAATAGACGGCGACCATTCTCATCTGAATTCTGATATAATCGAAACAACAGGCTAGGTGGTGGAGCAGGCAAAAGGTGATCTTCATCAACACTTTCATTATTTCTAGTGTCATATAGAGTGGGACTAACACTCTGTGACAATACACTATTCTCATGACTAGTTGATGCATGACTTTCATTACTGTCATCATTTGTGCTGATATTTATGACTGCAGGAGGGGTAGGTTCCTGTCGAGCTGTCGATAGCTTTTCATTATAAGAATAACAATTCAAGTCTGAAGATTGATTTCTGTTTGTAGTTGTATTTTGTAAACCAACCATAAGACGATTACGTAATTCTGCAGGAAGTAGTTCAGGATTCATTGGACACGTTTTTTTATGACTGGGTAAAATGCACAAGCGACCGATAAAATCGCATCCTAGAGAACGCCAAGGACATGATACCTGAAAATAAAAATAAACTAAATAGATGAATAGAAAGAATAAGAATACGGCTACTTCAAAATATAAAAGCCTCAAGCTTACAACCCCCCGCCCGCGTTCACAAATCAGGACGCCAAGGAATTTTCTAACAAACAATTGACGACACGTAATACACTAGGTGTAGATGGGATTCAGTTACAGCATAATGAACAGTGAAATGAAACATTAACTGACTGACTGCATTCAACATAGAACTCGGCACCGATCTACAGCAGTTCGAGTTCCCACACTCCCTCCTCCATGCAGCACACGAAGCAAGAGAAGAGAGGCTCAAAAGAGAGATAGTAAACACTGGTGTGGGTGAGGGAAAAAGAACAGTAATAACGAAGGACAATGGATATGATATATCACAAAGAGTGAATTTATCCGCGCTGTCACTGAGAACGATTTTGAACCATATTAAAAATCTTCTCCAACCATTGGTTCTTACCATCCCAAGGACCCCCCACCAACCAAGCATTCTACACCGCCATACGTGTCTGGCTTAAACTAACTGTTGCGGATTTGATTTACCGATGAAGCCATGTTTTAGTTTGACCACCATTAGCTCTTTTCCTGCCTGATCCAACCTATGTCAGCTAACATTACCCGTCGAAGAATGCGATGGCTAGGCGCATGCGTAATACAAGTTCTAACTACCTCAACCGATATACCTTCATAACCTCATCGAATAACTTTTCCTCGTTGCCAAAAAACACACGAAGCCTAACCTCAATATTCCTCACTTCAGTATACCACCCAACACACACGGGAGATAGAATGCAGTTAATTCCACCATATAATCGGTTTAGTCTGGATTCTAAAAAAAAATCAAATTTACCACATTTCCCAATGAAACGATGACATCACAATGTTGGCATCAGTGGCCATCTTTATCAGTAGGTAACGCGACTACAAACACTTGTGCACCTAGGTAGTGAATTTTCTTCTACTTTTTCCTCATAAATTCCTACAGTTGTACATTGTATCAGCAAATGATTACTTGAAAAAGAGAGTATAAACCAATGCCAACGATACTCTCATTGTCTGTACTCACTAAACGTACAAAAACTTACCTTATAATCGCCTATTATATTTTCAACTATAAAATCATGATGCATCGATCCTTTTGGGATAGGCAAACGATCAACCGGACAGGTAGGCGAGTCACGAATCCACGGGTCGATACACTAAAAGCAAAGACGGTAAAAACAATACAGTACAAAAAAATCTATATATATTAGGAAATTTACTACATTCCTGTGTGTTTAATGAACATTTCCATTTTATGGATAAAAAATCAATATGAAGAATTTCTTTTGTTTTCATTCATGTACTGGTATTTATTATTATTATTATTACGGTGTGCGGACAAGTGAATGTGCTTCACACGAGTAATGATTAGCCCGATTCTCTTCGATTTCTCTTGAATTTTTAGATCCCACTGAATTACAGATTAATAGAACAAATAACTCACTGACTGGTTTCAACAGAGAACTTGGCACAGATGTACAGCAGTTCGAGTTGCCACACTTCCTCCATGTAGTACACAAGGCAAGAGAAGACAGTTAAGAGAAATTCAAACGAGAGATAACAAACAGAAGTGTGAATGAGGGAAAAAGAATAATAAGCACACCAAGTCCTCCTGATCATCATTCTCCTTTATCCCTGTCACCCCATCCCCATCCTTTTGCTTCCCTACTACTGTCAGTACTATTCTGCCGAAAGGTATATATAATGTATCAAATTATCCTAGTCACCCTGCAATGTTATTCACGTATATTTATTGATACTATACCCTCGAAACGCACTAGATCTCAAGGCTCTAAAAAGTGCAGTCTCTGTAAGCACGTTGTTACCTACTACGAGCACTCTTAGTTGATGAGTCCCATACAGGAGAAAATGTGCATCCTCGATTATACTGCTAGTTACCAACAACCAAATACAGCCGTTGTATAAACAAATATACATTATTAGGTAAAGTGATATTTAGACACTTAACACTTACACTTTTGCAAAATGAGTGGCCGCATGGTGCACGTTGAGGATTAGAAAATGCCTCCTGGCATATAGGACAGAAGAGATGCGGGCTGATAGATGATGGGTTAACGAAAAACCTAAAAGGTATTTATTTTATTTCATTGAAAGTGGCTACCTTTCTTCGGGAGCAGGCTCAGATTTCCTTGGAGCAGCTCTTTTAGTAGAACGTCTACGTTCCATTGGTTTAGATACCAATATGTTTGTTTGTGGACTTTTTGTGCTAAAATACAAAATGGAAAAGAAATCACAATTATTTTAAAATCATAGACTGCCTATACTTGATTCATAGATGCTTTAAAAAACGCTGTTTATTTATACGGAAGAAACTCCGTGACAAATGTTCTAACAACAAGAAGTGCCCTAATACTTCTTCTCGTTTATAATTGTGTCCTAACGTTGTGCTTACTCGACACACAACGTAAATCAGAAGACACTTGTGGTGTAGGAATGTGTATTCCCGCCGTAATCAAAATTCAAAAGTTGAGCGAGTACAAAAATGTTTCAATTGTTAACACGCAAGATTTAGAGTAATAATAATAAACAAATCAAAGTACAATTACACAATGAAAGTATAGTATGATGATGAGTAATAAAATGGGTCACTACAATAGTCCCTCCGTAGAATGCAGGTAAATGAAGTTTACCTGTATTCGGAATGATATTGTTAGCCGGAATATCATCAGGTTTTTAATCTTGAGATGATGTTGATTTGGGTAAACATTCAGTCACCTCTGTTTCCATGAAAGCTGGTTTTACGCGATCGATGCTTACATTCTCGTGTTTTCCTCCGCGTTCGACAGTGATGATTTTGCTTGTTCTTTGAATGTACTTTGAATGGTCCGTCATAAAGTGGTTGAAGTGGTTTCCTTACACTGTCGTGTCGTATGAAAACATGCGTGCAATTTTCTAGTTTTTCAGGCATGTATGCTTGGTTGGGCTGATGTCGCGGCGGGTGATATCTTAAAAGGCTCATATGTTGTCTCAGTTGTTGCACAAAAGTAGTTTCGTCAGCTGGAATTTCAGTGGCAGTAGTCGTAAAGTAGTTCCATAAACTAATTCTGCTGGACAACGTTTGATATCTTGTTTTATTGTCGAACGTATCCCAAGAAGTACAAGTGGTAATTTATCGCTCCACTTATCATCGTCCTTCACTGCCATTAATGATGCTTTCAGTTGACGATGAAATCTCTCCACTAAGCTGTTTGAACTGGGATGATATGCAGTAGTACGTAAACGTTTGATTCCCAGTAGTTCTGTGAGTTGTTGGAATAAATGGCTCTCGAATTGGGCACCTCTGTCTGTGGTAATAATGCTGGGCACTCCGAAGTTGGAAATCCAATTTTGTATGATGCTCTTTGCAACAGTTTCAGCAGAAATATCAGGTAAGGGACAAGCTACTGGCCATCTCGTAAATCTGTCAATACACGTTAAAATGTACGTAAAGCCATTAGATGGTGGTAACGGTCCAACGATGTCAATATGTATGTGTTGGAACCTACCATCAGGTTCTGGAAACTGTATGTCGTTGTACTTTTGACTTTTGGCAGGCTAAACATGATCTGGTCCACTGTTTAATCTCTCGATTTATATTCGGCCATACATATCGGTCACTTATCAGTTTAACTGTTGCTCGGATGCCAGGGTGAGAAATGCCATGTATTTTGGAAAAACTGATCTTCGCATTTCTAGTGGGACAAAAGGGCGCGGTTTACCTTTGGAAACATCACACGTAATAGTTAGGCCTTCATCAAGCATAACATCTTGCAAACGTAAGGAAGTACTCGTGCTATTTTTTATTCTTTTCAGATCCTCGTCCATAGTTTGCAGTCTAGCCATATTTTTAAGATCAAACTGGTTTTTTTCTAAGGTATTTATATGGATGCGGGATAACGCATCTGCTACCTCGTTTTTATGTCCTTAGATGAATCTAATATCTGAAGTGAACTGAGAAATGAACTCGAGGTGTCGGAGTCCTCTTGGCGAGTACTTGTCGTGCTTTGCATTCATGGCCTTGGTTAAAGGTTTGTGGTCTGTGTAGATGGTAAACGGTATTCCTTCTACCATATGACGAAAATGTTTAACAGCGAGATAGACTGCTAGTAATTCTCTACTGAATGCACTATATCTTGATTGAGTGG